GTGGGTCCAGGGCCGGCCCAGGTTGTCGGCGGGCGCACACAAATGCCCCAGCGGGCGCCATGGTGCCCACAGGCACCGCGTTGGGGACCACTGGTGTAGCAGAACTACTGCTTCTGAAATTAATGGTTTTAATTTTTTAATGTGAGAGGGGAAAAAACATTATTTTCCCCTGACCTCAATCTTGGAAACAGCTGAACCACTTTTGATGAAGTTGTCTAAAAAAAAAATTCAGCCCAAAGCAGACACCTGGCATGGAATGGCTACAATTTGGTCAAACTTATAATCAACTGAAAACAGGGGCTCATAAAGGAAAGTGTTGGCTAATCTTAATCATAGCCATTGCTTCTGGCTCCGCTTATAATATGGACTGTATGCCATGCTTGTGCATGACTCCCAAACAGTGCTCCCTATAAAAGAACCCAAAAGATACCACAAACTCCACTATGGACCTCATTCTGTGCAACTAATTTACTGGTTCAGTAGTTTGATACTACAGTATGTGTCCTCTAGAGAAGTAAAAGACAGACTGATCAAATCAGTCAGGATGCGTCATTCTGTAAAGTTTGCAAATACCTGTGATCACACTGCAGCTCACTACTGAGCCATACAGGCATAGACAACTCCTGTGTTTTTGTCTTCAATGTAGGTTGCAACATTTATGTTAATTGTTGTTAGACTTTACATATTAAGTGGATTTTACATAATAAGTGGATTTTTTTCTCTTTTTCCTAGAGTAGACATTGTTTGAGTTCCCCCTTCCCTAATTGAATTCTGGCTCACCAGAGTCATATTCGGTTTTGATGTTGTCTAAAGCCAATTCTAAATGCTTTTAAGATAGGGGAGACAATGGAGAATTCTTCATTTATTGTTACAAATAAAGAACATTTAATATCTTAAGGCTGGTTGTTTTAAAAAAGAATCCTAAAAAGTAACAACACTGGTGGCTTTGAATATCAATCTTAGTAAGAAATGCAATTCACTCTTCACTAATGGCATGCTTACCCACACCCCTGTACACTATTCCTGCAATGAGTTCAACTCTAAAGCCACCACAGAAGAACAAACAATTACACTTCAACACCCTATGATGCGCGCGCGCGCGCGCGCACACACACACACACACACACACACACACACGCCTCCTTATCAGGGCCAAGATAATAAAACACAAAAGTGCATCTTGGTTGACTGACAATATAGAACAGGTTGCCTAGCATATTCTTTGGGAGAAGAAGATACAATTAAATCAAACTTGTTATTAAAGGCAAACCCCTCTGACAATAGATGTCAGGCCCTGACTAGACAAATGTGGTATTTCAGGTGGAAAATTGAGTGGACTAATAGGAACAACTGGAGCAGTAGCTTCTAGTAGAGCTTGTAAAGTAACTATTGCTCACTGCAAATGCTAAACTGGTGATGACTGCATCAAAATGCTAACATCAAGAGACTGTTGGACTATATTTTGCAATGTGTGCAACAATAAAAGGAGATTACTATAAAGCCACAGGTGGAAAGTTATCTCTGTGTCCTGGCAGACAGCTGGAGGCCAGGTGTACCACAATTAGATTCTAGAAATATATACAGGGAAAAGAAAATGGAGTAATTAATATAAGCTATCAGACGCCTATCCTCATCTTATTGAAACAAGCCAGAAATATAACCTGTACCCATTCAGCATGCAATTTTCAAGGGGAAAGGTGTCAGACACTGTAATTGGTTGAACTTGAATGCTGCTACAGGGATATCCCGCTTTTAAGGAAACCTGTTTTCTATACCAAAATTGATCCAGCAAGGTTGTTATCTCATAATACACACCTAGCTAGGAAGGTACTATAAGGCCTGAGGGCACAGGTTAGCAAGGTGACTAACAACCTTCATTGTTGGTCATTATGAGATGCTGCATTCTCTCTCGAGGTACTTATTGCTGATACTGAATGTTATTCAAAACTGGGTGGTGTGGCTCTCATTTGAAAACATAGGGGCTAAGCAATGCAAAAAATGATAGAAAATGAAATTGGTCTGGGATGAGCAGTTGAACTGAAGTTTATCGTGTCTGTCTTGGCATATGTGGAGGACACTTGGGGGTGAGGTGGTTTGGAGATGTGTTTGCACCTCTGAAGGACCAATTGGCTTTTGTTTAATTATCCCATCCCTCTTATTTGCAAATGAATTCCAGAGAGCCTAAACAAACACCATGGAAAATTTTTTGTGCAGAAAATTACTTGACATGATTCTTAAATATTTAAGGCCAGTACCTGCTGGTTTGGAAATCCAGTGAATAATTTAATACTGTTTGACAGAATTTCTTTGGGTCAATTATTCAGCAAGTGAATTAATATATTCTGACTAAAAATGAAACACATAAGGTGTTGAAGGGCATATCTTGTTACATCACTTGTTCCGTATTACATTGCATCACACAGAACTCCAACATAATCAAACACTACAGCTTGATTTAAACAATGTCATCAGGGCAACTGTAAAATAGTCTCCAAAGCATCAGACCCCTGACTATTTCTGTACCTGGTCTGTCTGCATTTATCTCTCAACACAATACAAGATCTGACTGCCCTCTATGAAATATATATTTTAAACAGTCAACAAATCTTGACCTTGGTATAGCCCTGAGTATCTTATCTAAAATGAGTGCTTTAATTGTAAATAGCAACTTTAAAGCCCAAGGGAGGGGGAGAGAGTGACTGATGATGTTCCACAGCAATTTTCTTTATCAAGTCCTTGTCAGGAGGGGGCTGTCCTACAGGATCTCAAGGGCAAAGGCGCTACAAGGGGAAGAGGGGGAAGAAGGAAGCTACTCCTAGGATCAATCTTAAAGGGTGAACCTGGAATTGAAATTCCTATTTAGGTTTCCTACCACCACCACAGTCACCACCATCACAACAAAAGGAACACCGAACACTCCCCTCAAGAAACAGCCAAGCTTTTCATGTTATCATTTCAACTTGTATGTTCTATTGCAATATCTCAAACCATTTAGATTGTAAATATTGTAATAGGACAGAGTTGGGCAATAAGACAGAGGCAGTGTGTCAGGATTAGCCCCTGGTGGGCTGCCACCACTTTATTTACCTGTGCATCCACAGGTAGAATGACTTGAAGCTCCCATTGGCTGTGGATCACAGTTCTCGGCCAATGGGAGCTGAGGGAAGTGAATTAGACTGGGGCACTGCTTCCTGCAGCTCCCATTGGCCAGGAATGGCAATCCACGGCCAATGGGAGCTTCAAGCCATTCTACCTGTAGATGCACAGGTAAATAAAGCAGCAGCAGCCCAGCCTGTGGGCCACTTTTTGCCTACTGCTGTAGTAGAAATTGCAACTCAAAATGATAAGGTCAAAGTGACACATTTTGATAAATTCTTCCATCCGTTTTGATGAACTGACATGGTCTTAGAAAATGTTTTGACTTAGCCAAATCAGCATTTTCCAGTGGAAATTTGTTGCATCACAAAACTTGTGGCCAACTGTGTTGTAAAGCAAGTTCAAAATCCACTCCAACATTTGACTGAATTCAGATGGGGGTCGCCAGCACAGTAAGCAACAATGGTGCCCATTCCTATGCCCTTATAACAGAAAGCCTGGTACCCTTTGACCACTGCGCTAAATCAGAAGTAACAACAGTTACAGGTATGCCATTATGTTAGAGTAAAACTGGTAAAAGTGAGGAGAGATTCAGACAGTCTATTTTAGACTGAGTTTAAAAATTGCACAGCACTGCTGGGTATTCAGAACTGTCTGAGGGCCAAATCCAGCGGGAGGAAAGCACCTTCAGAAAGATGATGCTACTCCCATTAATTCTCATTGCGTTCCATCTTTCAAAAAGTTGCTTAGAACAGGGGTCCTGTTAAGCCAACAGGAGTTTTGTGGTGGATAAGTGTGACCCAGACCTCTACTGGGTTTAGTTCACTGTCCTATTCAGTAACACCTAGACCACTTAGAGAAAAAGAATGTGTTTCCTCCACAGCTGAGAGCCAGATGGTGTTAGCTCAAGCAGTAGAGGCTTATGCACTGAGGTCCCAGGTTTGGTTCTACCTCTTGGTGTTACATAAGTACCCAAAAGTCTCATGCTTATCTTGAGCTTTTCCAGACTACCTGTACCAGTTCATCTGCCAGCATTACACTGGAAAACTCAGAAGGGCAGGCTTTCTCACAAGATTTCCAACACCAGCACTTCCTAATCGAGCTGGGAACTACCACAAGATAAGCCTTTTTCACATATGTCAGCACTTTCACCTCAGAGGCCACCCAAAACTAGGATATGCACATGAAGAAGAAAATTAAAAATAAAAGAGAACTTGAAACAAAGTTGGATTTGAGCATGGGCTGGCTCGCACTTTATCCAGACTAGTTCATCCATCCCTGCAACAGATGTAGACTTGATTTTTAGGGATAATAGTGAGATACGGTAGTTGTGATAATACTTAATAATACTTGTAACAACAGGTCAGTATTTGTATTGCTGTGTTATAGAATGGGAAACTAAGGCTAAGGGGAAATGACTGGCTGAAGACCACACTGTACTGCTATGTCATTGCCAGAGTTAAAATTAAAGAAACATCTGACTTCTAGCACCATGCTCATAGTTCTAGACTTCAGTGCCTCAGCAACCAGACAACAGCAGACACCAATACGTTAATACAAATCAAACCACCAATGGAGAATATTCAGACTAAGACATAGTAAACAACATTGAACAGAAACAATGTAGTGTATCCCATAAACTTTGTTAACAAGCAGACCATTACAACCTCTTCTCACTTCTCCCCTCCCCCCTCGCCAAAAAAAAACAACAACTAACCAAAGACAAATCATTTAATCAGTGACACAGTAAGGCCCCAATCCTGCACACATTTGTGCATGTCCTTTCATTCACCAGCAATCTTATTAAAGTCAGCTGGAAAACTGAAAGTATGTAAATGTTTGAAGAATCCAGGACTAAACAAACAAAGCAGAAAAATCCACAAATCCTAGATTTAAATGGCTTTTTTCATTCCAACACACGATTTCATTCACCACATTTTCAGCTATTAGTACAACATACATAGATGAGAAAATATGCACAAGGATCACTGGCGTATGAGACTCAACTCCTGCCCTGCTATGCTGATGCCAAAGTAAAGGGAAATGCAGCAGAAGAAAGTAGTTTGAAATTATCTGAAGTCCATCGTGACAGCTGAAAGAAGATAACCATTCATTTCATGGAGGTGGACTTTAAAAAAAAAATCTTGTCTTTGGAGCCTTCTGCACACGACATGGACTCAAAGATACCAATGGAGCTATGAGTGGTTTGGGTGGGTTTTTAAGAACCCCACAGTGGATTGTGTCTTCCCCAGTATTTCCAGCAGGTGCCACTCTGAGTCAGCACAGGGACTAGAAGTGTTTGTTCACATAACTGACTGATGGAAACAGGCTGCCAGGGGCTGGAGAGGAAAGGTGATTCCCTGCTGGATCTGAAAACCAAAGATTGAAAAGAGTTATCTTTGCAACAGAAAGTTTTCAAATTACTGCCTAAACACACATAACAAGTACTATAACAGGTGATACTTTACATAGGCTCTGCCAACTTATTCTAAGCCCTAAAATTAGGTTGTGGAATTAAAATGAAAGGGGAGTCCTTTAGAATATCAGGTGACAACATGTTTTCAGGAATTATTTTAAAATCTTATGGTTCATAAGTTTTTCTTTTTTAAACTTTAAACACTCTCCTGCTGTTTTGTGAGCTCAAACACAACAGCATGCTCCACTGGTACATGAGAGTCAGAAAGGAGCAGAAACTAAAAGAGACACTGACCAGATTAGGTTCACAGTTCAAGCTGGATGGTGGCCGGCACAAAACCAAATAGCAGTAGTAACAACAAGGGTCTGCTTTTAACAGTGATTTCAGTTTTAATAATCAAAGATCATAAATTAAGGGACCACGAAAGGAACCATTAAAATCATCTTGTTGGGTCTCCTGCATTATATAGGCCATGGAGCCTAACCCAGTAATTCCGGAACCAAGGCCCTAACTTCTGTTTGAGCTACAGCCTATGTCTAGAAAAGGGGTGGAGAACCTAAGGCCCAGGGGCTGTATGCGGCCCCCAGCTTGCCTAGACCCACTCCCAGAGGCTTAGGGCTTCCCCCACCCCAGCATTGAGGAGCCAGCCCCCCTGAAGCCCATCACAGGGATGGGCCCCACTATGCTCTGGTCTGCAAGGGGAATGGGGGAAGTGTCTTTCCCCTCAGTCGGGGGTCATGTCAGTGAGGATTTGTTGTTTTGTTGGGTTTGGAGGGAGGTTGCTTCTCACTTGTGTGCAGCCCCCAACAGATTTTTTTGTGGGTCAGTGTCCCCCAATCCAAAAAAGGTTCCCCACCCCTAAAAAGACATCCTATCTTGACTTCAAGACTACATGTGATGGAGAACCCACCATAGCCACAGGGAACCATCCCTATTTAGGGAAGCACTTAACTTTGAGCACATGCTGAAGGGCTTTGCTGAACTAGGGCCTAATTTCTGAAGTATAAGATATTGATGAGCCTGATACTCTTGTCATTTATATAGATTTTACTCCACTGTACTCTACTGACCTCAGTGGAGTCACTCCACAATTTGCACTGAAGCAAGAGGAGAAGTCAACTCAGTGTTTATTAAAAATTAAAGCATGTTGCTCCTTTTTCAAGCTATGCCTCACCAGGTAACACCCTTAGAAATAATTGTTTAAATAAAGAGAAACTAAAAAAGATCAAAGATGCAGTGATGACTTAATTGATGCATGTAATTTTCTCCCTCTTTCTAGTTATAGAGGGAGGATCACTGCTTGAAGGGGGATGTGTTCCCACTGTGCAAGAAATGTGGAGCATGGTAGGTCCAGAAAGCTAATAAATTATGGGATTTCTAGGAGAACAGAGCCATTTAGTTCTTCTCAAGCCTTTAGAGGTTTCACCTACAATGCTCAAAGAGAGAACTCCACACTAAAAATAAAATAAGACATTTGAAACTTTTTTGCCTGGGGGAGGGGGAACAGCAGAAAAGGGAACAGGATTTGGGGGTTGCACATGGAGAGTTGTGGCTTTAATGAAGATGAATTCACTTCCCATTGCTTTCTGGCCTTGTTGTCAAGTGAATGTGTTATTAACCCATGTTTTATTCTTGCAGCCATTTTATTAAAACAACTGGAGTGTCTACAATAATAGACTTCACACAGTCTGAGCAGTGGGGGCTTCTCAATCTATTACTGTTGGATTAACTACAGTAACCCTTTTGTTCTTTCTTCAGTTTTACATCAGTCCACAAAAACATAGAAACACTGATACTTACAGTGACTGAAAGTTATGCTCATAAGTACAAGTAAATGCAATAGTCAATCATCTCAAAAGTTGTGTTTAAGAATTGTTGGCTGGGACAAAGGCTGCATTCAGGTTTATTTTGCTTTAGGTTGAATCCACTTTGAAGCTGGTATTCTGGTAGTCTAGCAAAGGTTTGTAGTGGTTAAGCTCAGTAAAACTGCATTATCTTGCAGATGAAATATATTCCTGGTAAATTAAGTCACATGAGCTAGCTATGTGCTGCTAGCATCTTAGTAGGGTGAAAAAGGACATCTCCATCTTCTCCTGTATGTTTCCTTTCCTTTTCCTTCCTCTCACGCCTCCTCTTCTGTGAGCAGATTAACAGTGACGTCAGGATTTCCACAATGAGACAATGTAAATATAAAACTCTGGGCCACAGTCTCAGTTAATGTAAATCTTCATGCCTTCATTGAAGTCTGCACAGTCACACTGATTTACACCAATTGAAGATGTTGGCTTTCCAATTCTTTAAAATCCTTGCTTTAAAAGTACATGCTCATCTGATGTAAATTGCCATTGCAGTTTCACTTTCTAGTTCTCACAGTATTGCAAGAGAATATTTCTTTAAAAATAATAATTTCTGAAACAGACACGCATTCTTTTCATTACATTGGGTTCAATGTTGATCCCAACATAAAGGTAATAGTAAAACGCCCATTGACTTCAGTAGTATCTGGATCTGGCCCTCAGAGATTATTTCATACCGTTACATCCTCTGATGACTCAAAACAAGTTTAATTCTTGGATAACAGACTGTGATTTATGATAAGGAATAAGTGTTCTGTCACATCCCAGTAATTAGCATATCACAGGCAGAATGCAGAAGTAGCCAATAAAATTACATGAAGTTCTGGCAGAACTTTGAGCCACATATAAAACATAAACAAGCTGATACAGACAAGACATTGTTGTACTGCTTCCTTTCAGAAGAACTGATAATAGAAAGGTCAGTGCCTCAGGATAAAACAAAAATACTAAAGATAAACTTGCCCTAGAAAGCCATTGCAGTGGCATTCCTCCACTCAGTATTCACACAGTAAAAAATTCAATACAAGGAGCTTTGGCCCTATGCCTCTTTCAGTAGATAAGGCAAATTGCACTTCCTAAAAGACACCTTGGGAGTCGAGCAGATCTCAGTAAGGGGAATATTACTGGCCTATATATATGGAAGAAGGAAGAGTCTGCTGTGAATGGGTTTTTTTGTTTTGTTTTTGTTATTTTTTTGTTTTTGTTTTTCAGGAAGAGGGAGGTAAACAGGGCTGAGCATTTCAGTTTTCTGCAAAGATAAATACAATTTGTTAACTACAGTTTTGGAAGGACAGAAGGGAAATAGCATGAGCTCCTCACCACAGATAAAAAAGGAAATCCCAAGACATAGTGGGTACCTATAGCTTCCATTTACTACAGTGGATGTTGCATGTGCACAGGATGTCTCAAAGTTCAGATGAAAAGAATTAAGTCTTGTAAACAGGCCAAACAAAGTAAAGGCAGTGTTTGGAAACATTTTTCAAAAGGTCATTTACAAATTTTAAACAAGGAAAGCAGTAACTCAGGGGACTCATAGTAGGATATGAAACCTGTTCCTAAAACTCCTGGTTCCAGTGCAGGTCAGATTGGCAGCAGTCAGAAACCTCCAGAAAGCTATTTAATTAGGCGTGTTAAATGGATTGGTGGTTTCAGTCAATTTCCTAGTAGATGAGCGTTCATATCACAAAAAAACCCATCTAAACTGACTATGCTGGCAGCCCTGTCAACAATCAAAGAGACATGGACACTCTTATGCTCAATTCATTGCTATACACAGTCAAACACACTCCAGCTGTGGGGTCATGCATCTGCTTACAGCACCTAGAAGAAACCAGAATGGAGAGTTGGAAGTATGGATCAGGTTGTACTCTGGTATAAGCAACCTGTAGTGCCACACAGGTATTTTCATTAACCCCCCTACCACACACTGAACACCTCCAACTCTAGCCCAAGAATTCAAATTTGTTACAATTACTTTTTTGCTCACTTTAAACCCGATTACTTGCTGGAGGAAATTCTCCATTTGATCCTTCCTACACATATCAGATCTGAAAAAGAGCCTCACATTTTGAATATTTGTCATGAGAAATAAAATGCAAGCGATTTCTTCCAAACTGCTGCAGTTGTGATTTCTCTTTTTTCTTACAATATGTTATTTTCCACTCTTCTTTCATTTCATCCTTCTTCTCCTTGTCTCTTTTATAGTTGAGTCTATACTGCACATTATAACACTGACACTATCAATGAGAGGTTTTTAATACTATTATTTGTATTCACCATGTACTTTGGGCTGTAACAATAATGCCCTTTAACTGCTTTATCAAATGGATCAAATGGTCCTTGTGTAACCTATGTGTAGGCATTCCATTATTAATGTACGCATCTGTACCCAGGAGAGCTGACAGCCTCTGCAGGCTTCTGGGCAAGTGGGCGTGGCCAGCAGCTCCATGCTCCTGGAAGGGGCAGGGCCTAAGACGGAAGGGGCGGGCTGAGGCAGCTAGCCTTCAGGGCCACCCACAGCACAGTGCCCCCCCACAATCCTCAGATCTGCCTGGAGCTCAAAGAACGCCAGTGGCAATTTAAAAGACCCAAAGCTCCAGCCACCACTGTCACAGTCGTAGGAGCTCTGGGCCCCTTTAAAGTGCTGCACCCCAATAGTCCGCTTTGCCCCTCCCCCATTGGCAGGTCTGTCTGTACCTAAAATTCAGTACAAATATGGATTAGATCCTTATTTTGGTTACACCAGGGAAAGGCTGGTGTGAGCCCACTGAATCCACTGATCTTTTTTCCCCTCTTCCTAAGGCTTATGAGATTTTTCCTTGTATAGACTTACAACACCAGTTTAGCAGCCCCTTTCCTGCTAAGAGACAGAACATCCTATTTAAAAACAAAAAACAAAACCTCATCAACATCTTGACTAGCTCCTGTTGAAAAATAAGTCTCTGAGAAATCTGGGACTTTTTGTTAATTGCCAGCTTATTAGTGGAGTGAATGTCATCAGTCTTTTTACAAGCTGCTTGGAAGTAAAGAGTCTCTTTCTTCTTTCTTAAAAATAAAAACCTACCAAAAAAAACCCCATAACAACAAAACAACCCAAGAGAGTTGAAAAGAGAAAAAGGAAGAGGAACTGTTGAGAGCCAGAGCGCTTATTCATCTCCAAACACTGGTTTCCATAGGAATAAGCTTGATCTTTTGTGGAGGCTGAACAGCCCCTTGTACAGCATGACTAACATGTTGTGTTTGTGTGGTCAGCTTTCCTTTTGCCTCCTAGAGTCCCTTCCCCTCCTCACCCCAGCCCATGAGCAAGGCTGGGATCCACAGAAGTAAAGAAATCATTTAATCAATAGCCTGAATTAGGGTTTAACCCAAAGCCCATTGAAGTCAGTCGGAGCCTTTCTATTGACTTCAATGAGATTTGGACCAGATCCTTAATGCACAATGGCAACCAGTCAACTTGGAAGTGAAAGTCTCAAAAAGGCTGCTTACTCTTTGTATAAGGCTCACCTATTTACTTATTTAGTTTTCAAAACACTCTTATTATTTAGCTCAGATTATTCATGTATAGCATGAGATTTGGTATCTGTTAATATTTAAACTTTTATTATCACCTGTAGGAAAAGAAAGCAATAGACTCATTGGCAATTGAAAAAAAATAAAAAGCCTAAATAGAGAACAAAAGATCATTTTTTGAATGAAACATAGCTTAAAGCAAGCAATGTTTGCAGTAAATTAAACTGTTCAAATATTCACCCAATCTGTTCTTTTGCTATAAACCATGGCACAAAGTGAACCTGTAGGACAACAGCAGGGAAAGGTTCCTATTGGAGATTGTACTTGATGTAGTGGAAGATTTCATGACTTGCATCTGAGGTCAACAGGGTTCCAGGAAAAACTGTGGCCTGCCTGTTTTATTTGATCTGACTACAATAATTTGCCACTCTTCTTGTAATCCACTTTGACTTAAAAGAAAAAGAAAAAAGGGAACTGTTTATGAATCCATTACTCAGAGGCTGCCATGACACACATTTTCATACATTAATCCTCATCATTTCACTAACTGTCAGGGTTTTTTTTCCTATTAAAGAAATAAAGTAAAGGCATGTTTTCATAAATCACTAATAAAATATTTAGTGCCTTGTATTATTCCACTCTCACAACATCCCTTCTTGTTTAGAACCTTTTAGGCTCCAGTGTTTTTAAAAAAAGATGAAGAAAGGAAAATGGACTGGCAATGTTCAAAAGCCACTCAGAGAGCTTGTTGGGTCCACTGGAGTTTAGTTTATGAGCATATTTTTTCTTTTCTATTTGGAAAATCTATTCTGTTTGCAAGACTGAGAGGCTGATGGGTTTTCAATTTTTTAAAATTGAGATTAAGTCTAATTTAGTTTCCCTCTCATCACAAAATTCAGCTGCAACTGTAGCATGGCATACAGAGACTTCAGGGATGGGCGGTTTGAAAATAGCTATGGATGTGTAGTAAAATGGATCAGTCATTTGATTGTTGCTCTGAGCATCAGCAGATCAGGAACACAGCCATTCTGGACTCATCTGCAGTAGGAAAGAAAATCATGTTATTAACTGAAGGCCAAGGAAGCTCCCCTGATGTTAATAATGGAAACAGCAGTGTAGACAGGGCTCTGGCATTTATAGCACTCTGTCATCTTCCCTTGTGGGTTAAACAAAACAACAGATGAACTCTGTCTACAGGACAGCTCCCACACTTGCTGCTATCAGAGGGGCTAAATTTTGGCACCATGGATGCAGCCTTTTTTAATCCAAGTCAGATGCTGCTGCTTGCCAACTTTAAACCACATAAAGGTCTATGGAGCATGCGACCGATACATGTTGCATTTTTCGTGTAAAGGGGCCACACTGCAGATTCTGCATGTGATGCACAGGAAAAAACTAGTCTCTTGAAAGAAATCAAATGAAAGCATAAAGGAAATGCAGTTTTATTTCCCCCAAACAAAAGTTTAGGCATGTGGTCAACATCTGGAATTCACCATGGGCTTATTCAAATTAACTGATAATTTAGTTGGTAAGAAATTGGCAGGGCACATCGTTATTCAAACTCTCAGACATGTGAATGCTCCAGATGTCCTATGGTTCTGCTTATGAAACTAATCACAAATTTGTATGGGATTCACTTAGGCCTAGTCTTGAGCAAATATAAGCAAAGCATTAGGGAATGAACTAAATGTACTCTTGTAAGTCTTCTCGGGCAGGGAATGTGTTGTACTATGTGTTTTGTAAACTGATGTGACGATTTATTATTCGCTAATTAGCAATTCCAAGAAGAACTAAACTAGTATTATGGTAACACATTTTAGGATTTTGTCATCAACAATTAAAAGGAAAAAGAAAAAAAGAAGGGGTGGGGGCAGAGAATGAGAACTGTGAATGAAAAATCCCTGGTTATATTGTGTATTTGAGCCCTAACTATGACAGTAACCCAAACCACACAAAGCCTTAATACATGGTAAAGATCATAATCGACATCATCCCTTGATTTCAAAAGATGACAAAGACCTACACTGGGAATAAAAGACAAGGAAAAAAGTTGACTGGATTCATAATGAACAAGGTTGCAAGGCTTTTTTCAATATGAGCCAAATGTCCTTTGGGACCTCCAAAATAGGAAGCTTGGTTGGTGGGTGGGTTTTTCTGGGAAAATATGGGCAGTGATGGAGCTAAATAGGGTGGGAAAGGAGAGCTCCAAAGGCAATATGGAGGCATAGCTCATCTTCACAAAAAGTGCAGCCTCCTGGCAAATTCTGTGGCATTCATGGGGATGAGGGGAAGAGGGTTGGGGGAGAATGGATGTACCCCATGCTCATTTCACAGGGAGACAAACACTATTTCCTATGAAGCAGCATCAAGGGGAGCTCTGAAATGGGACTCTCGAAGAAATTCTAGTGCCTTGTGCAGATTTATCCCACACAAGGGATGATCTGGGCTCAACTACATTCTAGCACTTATCAATTTTAATATCAAGAATTTTTACTGGGAGTATTTTATAGGTTGTATTTTCTCTTATTTTAAATTATCCCTGTTCTCAAGCCAGAAATTTCTCTGCACCAATCACCTTTTCTACATAAATCTCCCTTCTCCCTTTCCCCTGTAGTGATTTGGTTCTTGGAAGTGTTTTCCTCTCTTTGTAATATTTTATGTATCCACCAACATTCTTATTTTTAGCCCTTACAAGTCTTCTTGTTTGTTTCATTTTGCTTTTGTGTTTGTCTGAAGAAATACTATTTGCATTTCTATAGCAGTTCTTTATAGATCTGAACATCCCAAAATGCTTTACATTTAATTACACACTCATAGCAAAGTGACTGTATGACAAATGTGGCCTTTGGGGCCTCCAGCAAGGAAGAGCAAAGCAAGCTTTCCACAGTCAGGTCAAGCCAGCCAGACCTACAGACTCTGTAGTTTTCATGTAAATGAGCCACATTACATAGTTTTTCCTGTGACACAGCAGAAAACTAGTGTCTTGAAGAAAATCAAATAAAAAGCATTAAGGACATATACCTTTTCATTTCCCCAAACAATGGCAAAGTATAACATCATAGAACAGGCGTGTATGCAGGAATTTCGGGGGGGGGGGTTATAAATGTGGACTGCAAGGGTGTGAATGCAGCCCCTTCCCTCTTTTCCTCCAAGTAAGTGGGGAAATCAGCTCCAGCCTTCACCTATAGAAAATTAGGGTTAGAAGAGACCTCAGGATGTTATCTAATCTAATCCCCTGCTCAAACCAGGTCCAATCCAACTAAATCATTCTAGTCAGGTCTTTGTCATGTCTGGCCTTAAAAACCTTTAAGGATGGAGATTCTACCCCCTCCCTAGGCAGGCCCATATGCAGGAATTTCTGTGGGGGTGCTTTTTTTGTAAATGTTGACTGCAGGGGTGTGAATGTATCCCCCAACTAAGTGGGGAAATCAGCCCCAGCCTTCCTTGGACTGGCCAGAGCATGGGGGGAGGCTCAGGCAGCACGCCACTCCAGCCTTCCCCTGGCTGGCCAGTATATGCTTACTTGGGGGACCCTTTGCACACACACCCTGTGTATGGGCCTGTTAGGTAACCCATTCTAGTACTTCACCACCCTTGTAGTGAAACAGTTTTTCCTAATATACCAAGATCTCCCCTACTGCAACAACTTGAGCCTGACTGCAGGGGTGTGAATGTATCCCCCAACTAAGTGGGGAAATCAGCCCCAGCCTTCCTTGGACTGGCCAGAGCATGGGGGGAGGCTCAGGCAGCACGCCACTCCAGCCTTCCCCTGGCTGGCCAGTATATGCTTACTTGGGGGACCCTTTGCACACACACCCTGTGTATGGGCCTGTTAGGTAACCCATTCTAGTACTTCACCACCCTTGTAGTGAAACAGTTTTTCCTAATATACCAAGATCTCCCCTACTGCAGCCTGAGACCATTGCTCCTCATTCTGTCATCAGTCACCACTGAGAACAGTTTCTCTCTTTGAAACCTCCCCCCTCAGATAGTTGAAGGCTGCTATCAATGGACTGGCCAGAGCATGGGGGGAGGCTCAGGCAGCACGCCACTCCAGCCTTCCCCTGGCTGGCCAGTATATGCTTACTTGGGGGACCCTTTGCACACACCCCCTGTGTATGGGCCTGTTAGGTAACCCATTCTAGTACTTCACCACCCTTGTAGTGAAACAGTTTTTCCTAATATACCAAGATCTCCCCTACTGCAACCTGAGACCATTGCTCCTCATTCTGTCATCAGTCACCACTGAGAACAGTTTCTCTCTTTGAAACCTCCCCCCTCAGATAGTTGAAGGCTGCTATCAAATCCCCCCTCATCACAGCCTCGGCACATAATTAATGTGCCCCAGCCCCCTAAGCATTTTCATTGCCCTTCTCTGGACTCCCTCCAATTTGTCCACATTCTTTCTGTAGAGAGGAGCCCAAAACTGAACACAATACTCCAGATGTGGCCTCACCAGTGCCAAAGAGAGAAATAATCACTTCCCAGGAGATTGTCATCTGGAATCAGGGCCGGACGGAGGCATGGGCGAGCCGGGCAGCTTCCCAGGGCGCCAACCCATGGGGGGCGCCTGATGGCAGCTATAAGGGGCACGCAGCGTCCCTTACAGCTGCCATCAGGAGCTGTGCACCTGGCTCCCGCAGCGCCGGCCCTGCGGCGCCATCCAGCAATGCCCTTCCCCCCCATGGGTGCAGGGCCCTGCATGGTCCGGCGCGCACGCCAGCAGCGGAGGCTTCGCACCAGCAGCCGTGACCGGCCCGCGCATGTGCTGAGCGTCCCAGGGGTGGGCCCCGGACTTTGCGCCAGTGGCCGTGGCCAGCACACACATGTGCCATGCGTCCCGGGGGCAGGCCTGCACCCCAGGGGCGAGCCTGCGCATGCGCCCTGCGGTGGCGCCGCACACCTGGGCCCGCCAGCCATGTCTGGAATTCACCAAGACCTTATTCAAATGAATGTAAAGTAACCAATCCATTGGATGTCTCTCCCATAGTATTAATATTTTTAATGTGATTAAATAAATACAAAGCTACAAAGATTTATAGTCAGACTAGTTCATCCGTAGGTAGCTACTGCATTATTCCCATCCTCCACTTCTCATAAATGTTATCCTTTCTTTTTGTGATAGTTCATCTTTTTTTAGTAGCAAATCATCCTGCAAACTAAGAAGGCAATCCAAAAACTCTTTACAAAGAACAAGTCAAAATGAACTTTATGAAATCAAACTTCTGTTTTAATAGTAAAATGTTGTTATACTAGCAAGTGACCAACTGACCAAGATATCGACTATGCTGTTTAAACTTACCATCCTGAGACCTTCAACATAAAAGTATGTAATAGCCATTTCATGCTATACTCCTATGAAAAAAAAAAAAAAGCTTTCATTTCCCTTGTCTCATTTTCTTCCTAGAGGTTTTCTGAAACAAAGTAGAAATCCAATAATGATACTTCGTGCTTCCACAGAGCCTTCATCAAGACTCTCGAAGTTATTTATAAACAATAGTAATAATTCTATATCTACCTTGGCCAGGTGATGTGCTATAATTATCCCCATTTAATAGGTGGGGAAACTGAGGCAAGGAGAAGTTCATTGTTTTGGCCAAGATCACAGAGCAAGTTGATGACAAGGCCAGAAATAAAGCCCAGATCTGTTGGTTCCCAGACCAATGCTTTAACTAGATTAAAGTTTTCCAGATAGCTGGTCACAACATCTCAGGTTAGGTAGGATATATCATGAAAGGCAATTAAGAAGGTTGTGAAGCACTGAACTTTTTATTAAATCTAAAACTCCCTGCACACTCTTGTCATTGAAAGTCAGGTATTCTCTGGAAACTTTTTCACACACACACACACACACACACACACACACACACACACACACACACACACACGATGGGCTTATTGTTCCAGTACTGACAGCTATGCCTACCTTCATGCCTCCAGCTTCCATCCCAGGCACACCACATGATCCACTGTCTACAGCCAAGCTCTCAGGTACAACCGTATCTGCTCCAACCCCTCAGACAGAGACAAACACGTAC